TCCCAAAGTGTTAGGATTAAAGGCATGAGCCACTGCATCTGGCTGAATGTTTTTATCATGAAAAAGTGTTGGATATTTTCAAATGTTTTTTCTGCATCTATTGAGATGATCATATGGTATTTGTTCTATATTCTATTGATGTAGTGTATCATATTAATTGATTTTAGTATAGTTTAGCATTCGTGGGCTAAATCCCACTTAGTCATGATGTAAACCTTTTTATATGTTGGTGGATTCAGTTTACTAGTATTTTGTTAAGGATTTTGCATCTATAGTCACAAGAGATACTAGTCTATAGTTTGTTATTTTTGTGATGTCTTTGGTTTTGGTATCAGAGTAATATTGACCTCGTAAAATGAGTTGGGCAATGATCCCTTCTCTCCTAATTTTTTAAAAAGTTTAGAAAGGATTGATATTAATTCTTTAAATGTTTGGTAAAATTCCCCGGTAAAGCCAAGTAGAACTGGATTTCTTTGGGGAAGTTTTTAATTACTAAATCACCAGCTTGGGTTAGTAATTGTATTTGTATACACTAACAGTCTATTCATATTTTCTATTCTTCTTGAGTCAGTTTCAGCAGTTCATGTCTTTCTACGAACTTGTCCATTCCATCCAAGTTTTCCACATTTTTTGGCATGTAGTTATTCATAGTATTCCCTTATAATCCTTTTTATTTTTATTTTTTTGAGACGGAATCTCACTGTGTAGCCCAGGCTGGAGTGCAGTGGTGCAATCTTGGCTCACTGCAATCTCTGCCCCCGGGTTCACGCCATTCTCCTGCCTCAGCCTCCCGAGTAGCTGAGACTACAGGCGCCCGCCACCACACCCTGCTAATTTTTTGTATTTTTCGTAGAGACAGGGTTTCACTGTGTTAGCCTAGAGGGTCTCGTTAGCCAGGAGGTCTCCTGGCCTCTGATCTGCCTGCTTCGGCCTCCCAAAGTGCTGAGATTACAGGCGTGAGCCACTGTGCCTGGCCCTAATCCTTTTTATTTCTGTAAGATTGTTGGTGACATTTCTCTCTTATTTCTGAATTTGGTAATTTGAATCCTCTCTTTTTTTCTTGGTTAGTCTAGCTAAAAGTTTGTCAACATTTTTTATCTTTTCAATGAACCAACTTAAAAAATTTGATATATCATTCACATACCGTAAAATATACCCTTCACTTCAGTGGTTTTTGTATATTCACAGAATTGTACAACCATCACCACAATCTAATTCTAGAACATTTTCATTAGTCCCAAAAGAAACCCTGTAGCCATTAACAGTCATTACTCATTACCTTCCCTACCCCACCCCAGCCCTAGACAATCACTGTTTTACTCTCCATATGGATTGCCTATTCTGAAAATTTCATATAAACATACAATATGTGGCCTTTTGTGTCCGGCTTCTTTTGCTTAACATAATGTTTTCAAGATTCATCCATGTTTTAGTATGCATCAGTACTTCGTTTTCCTGACCATTCTTGAAGTTTAAACTTAGATATATTACTTCCCCTAAGATACCTCCCCTAATAACCCTTGCTGCGAAGGGATAGGGACCCTTTCTGTGGGCTCCCATACCACCTTGGGGTTATTTTCATCATGAAGTAGTGTAGCTATCTGTTTACCTGTCCACCTCTTTATCCAAACTGTGGAGTCCTTAAGTTGAGGATGATGCCTTTTGTCTCTGTATCCTTGGCTCCTAAGACAGTGGCTAACGAACATATCCAACACATGCAAATGTTTTTCCATCAGCGAATGGTTGTTCATCCAATACCTGAACAGTGAAAACTATAGGCGAGATTGGGTGTGTTCCGGGTGGTATGTCCATAGATGGGAAAGCTATGGAAACATAAAAGAGGGAGTCTTCCGGAAAAAACATTCTCCATGGAGTGAGCACGGTGGTGTGGGAGGTTCTGGTTGCTCACCATTGTTTTGACCAAGGGCCCACCTGCGAGGGCACCTCCGGGTGTCTTCTGCTTTACTGGATTGGGCGGGAGCTTTTCTGAGAATGTTCTCTGAAATGTATGCTCTTCCTTTGAATTCTGTATTTGGATTACTGTCTCTACTTTCCTCTGGGTATCATGTCATCTCTGGAAATACAGTTCCTCTTCAGAATTACTCAATGTTAACCTTTCTGTCCCTCTTCATCTTTTTCAAGTAGCCTGTGATTCCCTGGTTGACACTGTGTTCAACACTGTGTGGACTTTGGGCTGCCGCCCCTTTATGAATAGTCAGCGGGCAGCTTGCATCTGTGCAGAGGAGGAGAAGGAAGAGTTATGAGGAAGAAGTGATTCCTTCCCGGTTTTGAGTGACACCACAGCTGTCAGCCTTCGAGATGTCAATCTTCGAGTCAGCGTGACTCATTCGTTCTTCCAACAGTTTGGACACCACAAAGCAGGAGAAAGGAAACATTTTTCTACACCTGGAAAGTGAGTCCTATCTTTTGAGGAAAATTGAAAAAAACATGGAGTGGTTTGAAGGCTACTCTTCATTTAAGACTGCTCTCCCCAACCAAGACACGTTGCCTGGAAATTCAGTTCTTAGCTTAAAGACTAAAATGAAAGAAAACCCTGCAATTCCTGGACCTGACAATTATTTTCATGAGTGAAATTGTGGGGAGTCCAGGCATTTGGGAGGCAATGACTTTCTGCTGGCCCATGTTTCAGTTGCCAGTAAGCATCTCACATTTAATAAAGTGTACTTTTTAGAACATTTGGATAGAGATGAATGAATTCCATTATCACCAATATGCTTCCATTTCACTTAGAAGAGACCAAAACCCAACCTGGTAAGTTCCACCGATGACCACAGTTATTCCCACTGATGCTAAAAAGAGAAAATAGGTGGGCAGGTTCAGAGGCTTACCTGATTAAGGCCAATGGAGGGGAAGGTCAGATGGAATTAGGTCTCTGAGGATTCACTTTTCCCTTCGGTGACCTGACCCTGCTGGTGTTCCCAGTTACTAAATGACATTAGAGCCATGCTAAGATCTGAGATGTACTTGGTAAGAGTTACTAACGGAGCTGGCTAGGAAAAGTCCCTGCAGCCTGTCGGGAGTGAGAGACAAGTGGCCATTCCCCAACTTGCGGGTCACGACCCTAACCATGGATTAGAATCACCTGAGAATCCTTTAAAACAAACCAATAAAGAATACACACTGGTATTTTATAAATGTTTTCCAGGTGATTCTGCTGCACAGAAGGGCTGGGGGCCACTAATCTACAGCAGAAATTGGCCCACTAAGTCCTGTGGACCAAGCCTAGCCCAAAGCCTGTTTTTGTTGTTGTTGTTGTTGTTGTTGTTTGTTTATTTGTTTGAGAGGGAGTCTCACTCTGCCACCCAGGCTGGAGTGCAGTGGCTAGATCTTGGCTCACTGCAACGTCCGCCTCCTGGGTTCAAGCGATTCTCTTGTCTCAGCCTCCTGAATAGCTGGGATTACAGGTGCCTGCCACCAGGCCTGGCTAATTTTTGTATTTTTAGTAGAGACGGGGTTTCACCATGTTGGCCCGGCTGGTCTCGAACTCCTGACCTCAAATAATCCGACTGCCTCGGCCTCCCAAAGTGCTGGGTTTACAGGCATGAGCCATCACACCTGGCTCAAAGCCTGGTTTTGAATCCTTTTTTGCAATAACCATGCTCACATTTGTTCACATATTCTCTGTGGCTGTCCTTGCACTACAACAGCAGAGTTGAGTAGCTGTGGCAAAGACTGCAGGGCTCAGAAAGCCTAATACATTTACCGGTTGGCTTTTTACAGAAAAAGTTGCTGACTTCTATCTAAATCCTTTTCTCCTTGCCCTTACTTTTGTTAATTTTACTTTTCTACTAAGAACTATTAAATGTAGCATTTTGTTTGTTTGTTTGTTTGTTTGTTGGGATTTGGGGTTTTTTGGAACAAGGTCTCACTCTGTCACCCAGGCTGGAGCACTACCATGGCTCACTGCAGCCTCAACCTCCTGAGCCCAAGCAATCCTCCTACCTCAGCTCCCCAAGTAGCTGGAACCACAGTGGCACACCACCATGCCAGGCGAATTTAAAACAATTTTTTTGTAGAGACGAAGTCTCACTATGTTGCCTAGGCTAGTCTTGAGCTCCTGGGCTCAAGGAAATCTCCCACATTGGCCTCTGAAGTGCTGGGATTCCAGGCATGAGCCACTGAGCCCAGACTGCAGCAACTTTTAAAAACTAAAAGCAGAAAAACTTTTCTGATCTTATGTAAAGGCCATAAAATTAATTGGCATATAAAGAAATTGGAGTTAACTGCAGATAAAATTTATCTTTGTGGTTTATATTTTTATTTTTTGTGGTTTATAACTTTATTTCAATAAAACTTATTAAGTACCTACAAAACAGAGTATGGCAGAATTGTATACTTTTTTCTATTATCTTATCAACCTGAGGGTACAGAATACCAAATAACAGGGAATATGGTACCAAACTTTAATTCTGTTACATCTCATTGAAGCACTTAAATACATGTTGATGAATTTATTAATATTTATTAGGTAAAAATATTTCACTTAAGGCAATATATTAGAAGTATCAAAAGATGGCCGGGCACGGTGGCTCACGCCTGTAATCCCAGCACTTTGGGAGGCTGAAGTGGGTGGATCACCTGAGACCAAGAGTTCGAGCCAGCCTGGTCAACCTGGAAAAACCCCATCTCTACTAAAAACACAAAATTTAGCTGGGTGTGGTGGTACACGCATGCCTGTAGTCCCAGCCACTCAAAAGACTGAGGCGGGAGAATTGCTTGAACCCTGGAGGCAAAGGTTACAGTGAGCTGAGATTGCGCCTCTGCACTTCAGCCTGGGTGACAGAGCAAGACTCTATCTCAAAAAAAAAAAAAAAGAGAGAGAAAAAAAGAAATTAGTATGAGACAGAAAAACCAAATACTACTTTTAAAATTATATACTATTTTATTGATAAACTTCCAACTCCCCTATCATTAGTCTGCATTTGAATTGAAATTACAAGGTATAACTATTATTTACATATTTAAGGAGTCACTGGGTATTTAAGTCATAATTTCAGTAACTGTTTAATTTTTCTAGGGTTTATTACTTGAAATATTATACCCGGCTTCTGATTTTGTGATCTGATTTCATCGTACACGAGGTATTTAAGTGTAGGAAGGAAATGAGAGAAATGGGGTGAGTGTCTTTCTGGGTGGACAGTTTAGTTTTCAGCCCTAGAAAGATGAAACCCCACCCAGGCCACGTTGTTCAGCAGTGCTGTGGCCTGTGCCGACCGAATGGACCAAATCAGAGTGAGTTGGTGCTGGGAGTCTGAACTCACAGTGTGAAGTCTGAGCCTAGGTGTTGGCGGATGTTCTTAGAGGGCCGGGGGGAGAAGCTCCAAAGAGCAGAGCCACCCAATACAGGGACTCGAGGTGTGGCTGCGAACTAGTCCTCCCAGTCAATACGGATGGGGCCGCCTGTTAGCGTCTGGCTCTGTAGACCGGCTGAGTCCTCTCCTCCTGCCCCGCGACGCATTCGCCGGTGGCAACCCTGGGCACAGCGGGAACGCTCGTCCAACACTCCACAGACAAGAACCCGGCAGTGCAGAAACACTTCCTGAAGAGATGGTCACGATTGTTAATAAAAACAGTAACTGCTGCCACTTGGGGGGCACCTTAAGGAGCCAGACACAATACTCAATGTTCCCAAGCATTAACTCATGTAATCTTAACAAGGACACCCACAAGCAGAGGTTATCATCCCCGTTTTACAGATAAGGAAACAGAGAGGTTAAGGAACTTGCCAAAATGTAAACATTTAGTAAAAAATGTGGCAAAGGTTGCATTTAAGTCACGTGGGTGATTAAAAAACCCATATTCATAACTCCTGCATGGAGCTGGAACAGAAGAGGCCTTTGTGAAGCAACATCTACTAGAACATCTTCCTTCTTCACACCAAGGTCTGGGGATAGCATTGGCTCCCATGCACTTGTGCTGTCAAATAACCAGTGTTCTCTGCAAGCGCCTTTCTGTAGGTAACTGCCTGGGCTACCTGCCTGATTGAGGGCGATCGGGATCAGCCATCATTGTCAGCAGTTGTTCTGTAACCATGGTATAGCTGCAATGGACCCGCATATACTTACAAGCAGTGTAGAAAAGAATGTCGGCCTCTTCAACTTCCTTTTGTTTAAATGTTGCGCAACTACACTCTAACAACAACGATAAAAAAACTTTCAGCTTATCTCACTACAACCTTTTCTATATAGCCCTTTATAACCTCTATCCATGAGTATACATGTTTTTTAAATGTAACATATTTAATATGCCTGTAAATTGCTATGACAACAGTTTTTATGTCTGCTTTTCCCGTATTTATCATTTTAATAACTCTTAATATTGCATTAAATTGATATACTGTGGCCCTTAGCCCTGTTTGTTTGGGGCTTTTTCTTCTACCCCCTTATAACAATGCTCTACAGACACTTCCAACACATCTTGTCCATTTTGGCTTAAAAATCTTTTTGGGGCCAGGCACATTGGCTCACGCCTGTAATCCCAGCACTTCGGGAGGCCGAGGCGGGCGGATCACAAGGCCAGGAGATTAAGACTATCCTGGCTAACACGGTGAAATCCTGTCTCTACTAAAAATACAAAAAATAAGCCGGGTGTGGTGGGGACTGCCTGAAGTCCCAGCTACTTGGGAGGCTGAGGCAGGAGAATGGCGTGAACCCGGGAGGCAGAGTTTGCAGTGAGCTGAGATCACACCACTGCACTCCAGACTGGGTGACAGAGCAAGACTCCGTCTCAAAAAAAAAAAAAAAAAAATTTTTTTGTTTGTTTTTAGGGACAGGGTCTCATTCTCTCACCCAGGCTGGAAGTACAATGGCCTGATCATAGCTCACTGTAACCTTGAACTCCTGGGCTCAAGTGACCTGCCTCAGCTGCCTGAGTAAGCTAGGACTACAGATGTGTGCCACTATGCCCAACTAATTTTAAAATTTTTTGTAGAGAAGAGGTCTTGCTATGTTGCCCAAGCTGGTCTCAAACTCCTGGCCTCAAGCAATCCACCTGCCTCTGTTTTGTTTTGTTTTTAAGAAACTGTCAGAATTGGAATTTTTAGATAAAAGAATATGACGATTTTATGATTATTATTACATATTATCAGACAATGTTCCAGAAAATGTTCCAATTTATACTGTCGCTGTATACTTCTCCCTGTAACCTTGTAAGTGTTGTATTTTATAATTTTCATAAATTTCATATGTATAAAATGGTGTCTTATAATTGTTTTCATCAGCACTTAAGTACTATTTTCAGTGAACATTTCACTATTTGTCTTTTCTGTGAATTTCCTGTCCATATCCCTTGCCATTTGACCAATCACCACACTGACTTTTCAACCATAACTGCCCACAAAGATTTTAAATTAAATTATGATCCTATAATATTTTCTTTGAACAGCACAGTGATTTTGGCAGGCAGTGGGGTGTGACATGCATGAAAGGGTTAAGCTTCTCAATGGCCAGTTTCTCTGTATTTTTTCTTGAGCCCATGCAGATCCTCACAGTGGGCTCTTGGAATGTCAATGTATTGGGACACCAAAAAAAAAAAAAAAAGGCTCAGGTTCAGGGGTTATAAATTAAAGATGTTCAACTCACCTTGTGGTCTTTGCCCACAAACTTGAAGACAGGGACCTGGAAGTGCTTTGCTAGGTGATCCCGGGATGTGTACTGCTTTACCGAGTCATCTGAAACGCAGCTGAAAGTAGGGCAGATAGCACATAAGACTTGATTGCTTCAACAGAGGTGGAAAAACAATCTAGCCCAACATTTTGGCCCAAGGAGAGCCAAAGGGGTGGAGGAGGCTGGAGTGTACTCAAGCTTTTTGGGAATGAAAGAAAAATTAAAGTTTTCCCTGTGAAGGCCTCTTCAGACCTAGCCTTTTTCACTAATAGCGTCTGTCCCATTTATCATTCGCTGTACTCACAAACTGGACACCAGTTTGTGTCATGAGCCACTGCGCCCAGCCTAGGAGCCATTTTTGACTCTCCTCTCCTTCACTAGTTTTACCTCCAAAATGTCAGTAAGTGGTTCCTGAACTAATAAAGAGCTGACAGTCGTGCCATGCAGTTTTAGTAAATAACTGGGTGTGCTGTGAACTTAGAGGCTGGATGCGAACTAGGGGTGATGAGACTATTCCCGCAGCAGCATTACCCATCCCGGATGAGGTAGTATTTCAGGACCTCGTCGATCTTGGAGGTGGGGGTGGCGAAGCAGCTCTCCACCAAGCTTTCCAAGCCGCTCACGTGCACCAGGGGCTCAATGCCAAAGTAGAGGGAGTCACGAAGCTTGAGGGTAGGCAGAGCTTCCCGGTAAGGTTCCTCAAACTCATTGTCCTTGAAGATCTCCAGAGTGAATGGGAAGATCCCATGATTTCGGCTCATGATTTCCAGTGGGGAGTTTCTAAGGTTGGGAACGTATCCTTCAGAAATGGTGTACAGGCATGGAAACTCGCAGGTCACTGGGATCAGCAGCTTGCTGGTTCGGATAATGAAGTCCCCGCTGCTGCCTGGGGTCTGCTTGGGTAGACCTGTCACGAGGTTGCTGGCCACAATCTTGTCATTCACCACCTGAGCCAGGTGAGGGTGAGGAGAGGAAAGAGATTGTCTGTTTATTTCTACAGAGTTTTTTTTATCCTCCCCTCTCACCTTAACATTCTACCAGTGTCTATCTAACTCAAAACACATTAGAGATTTGGTTGCCTAAGGCTGAGTTTTGTTTTGTTTTGTTTTTTCCCACTGCCCTCCTCTTTTTATCACGCCATCCTGACTGTGAAGAGTCTTAGCTCTACCAAAACACAGCCAGACTGCTTCTTTAAGTGGGACCCTGTTCTGCTCCTTATCTCTGGGGGGGACCTCCCAACTGGGGCCTCCTACTGGCTCTGCCCATATTCTCCAGCAGACAGAGTTTTGATTTCTACCTGCGATGGAGTGCCAAGGGGGAGGGGTAGGCTGTTTGGACAACTGTTTGGACAACTCAGCCATTTTAGCCTGCAGGGAGTCCAAACTGTCTAGAAGTGGACGCAGTACCCCAGGATGGCATAGCTGCTCTAGGAAAGCATGGCCATACGGCTTCTTTAAGCGGGTCCTCGATCCTTTTCCTCCTGGCTGGGTGAGATCTCCCAAATGGGGTACCAGTCACCTCCTAAAGGTGTGTTCAGGTAAGCAACAGGTCTGTACCCACTGGGATGGAGCTCCCAGAGGAAGGGGCAGGCCACCATCTTTGCTGTTTCAGCAACTTAGCTGTTTCAGCCTCCAGGCTTTGGAGAGCTCAACCTGACTGGGGGGTGATGGAAATGGTACCTCAGCACACTTCAGTTGCTCTATGAAAGCAGGGCTAGACTGCTTCTTTAAGCAGGTCCCCAATCCTTTTCTTCCTGGCTGAGTGAGACCTCCCAACTGGGGTTTCCAACCACCATCTACAGGTATGTTAAGACTGGCAACAGGTCTGTACTGTGCAGGGATGGAGCTCCCAGAGGAAGGGGCAGGCTGCTATCTTTGCTGTTTCACAGTCTTCACTGGTGATACCTCCAGGTACTGGAAAATCTGAGGTGACTAGGGACTGGAGCAGATGCCCAGCTAACCACAGCAACCCTACAGAAAGGTGGCCAGACTGTTAAAAGGGGGGAAAAAAGGCCAAATCAGTACACCTGTAATTCCAGTACTTTGGGGGTCCCAGTCAGGTGGATCACCTGAAGTCAGGAGTTCGAAACCAGTAGCCAACATGGTGAAACCCCATCTCTACTAAAAATACACAAAAATTAGCCAAGTGTCATGGCATGGGCCTGTAATTCCAGCTACTCAAGAGGCTGAGGCAGGAGAATCGCTTGAATGTAGGAGGCAAAGGTTGCAGTGAGCCGAGATTGCACCACTGCACTCCAGCCTGGGTGACAAGAGTGAGGGTCCATTTCAAAAAAAAGTGGGAGAACAAAACCCCCCAAACCTCATCCAAAGATCAGCAACATCAAAGACTGAAGGTAGATAAGCCCTCAAAGATGAGAAAGAATCAGTGCAAGAACACAGGGAAAACTCAAAAAGCTAGAGTGCCCTCTCTCCCTCAAATGACTACATCGCCACTCCAGCAAGGGTTTGGAATGGGGCTGCAGCTGACAGGGCTGAAATAATAGAAGTGGACCTCAGAATGTGGATAAAAACGAACTTTGCTGAGCTAAAGGAGCATGTTCTAACTCAATGCAAGGAAGCTAAAAATCATGATGAAACATTATAGAAACTGACAAAGAAAATAGCCAAGATAGGCCAGGCATGGTGTCTCATGCCTGTAATTCCAGCACTTTGGGAGGCCGAGGCAGGTGGATCACAAGGTCAGGAGATCGAGATCATCCTGATTAACACGGTGAAACCCCATCTCTACTAAAAATACAAAAATTAGCTGGGCATGGTGGTGTGTGCCTATAGTCCCAGCTGCTGGGGAGGCTGAGGCAGGAGAATGGCATGAACCTGGGAGGCGGAGCTTGCAGTGAGCTGAGATTATGCCACTGCACTCTAGCCTGGATGACAGAGTGAGACTCCATCTCAAAAAAAAAAAAAAAAAAAAAAAAAAAAGAAAAGAAAAGAAAATAGCCAAGATAGAGAAGAGCATAACCAACCTGATAGAGCTAAAAAAAACACAAGAATTTCATAATGCAATTGCAAGTATTAATAGCAGAATGGATCAAGCAGAGGAAAGAATCTCAGAGCTTGAAGACTGTCTTTCTGAAATAAGACAGGCAGACAAGAATAGAGAAAAAGTAATAAAAAGGAATGAACAAAACCTCCAAGAAATATGGGATTATGTAAAGAGACTGAATATACGACTGATTTGAGTACCTGAAAGAGCTGGGAGAATAAAACCAATTTGGAAAACATATTTCAAGATATCCATGAGCGCTTCCCCAACCTTGCTAGACAGGCCAACATTCAAATTCAGGAAATGCAGAGAACCCCAGGAAGATACTCCACAAGAAGATCATCCCTGAGACACAAAATCTTCAGATTCTCCAAAGTTGAAATGAAAGAAAACATGTTAAGGGCAGCCAGGGAGAAAGGCTAAGTCACCTACAAGGGAAGCCCATCAGACTAACAGTGGACCCTTCAGCAGAAACCCTACAGGCCAGGAGAGACTGGGGGCCAATATTCAACATTCTTAAAGCAAAGAATTTTAAATGGCCAGGCACAGTGGCTCACACCTGTAATTCCAGCACTTTGGGAGGCTGAGGCAGGCAGATCACTTGAGGTCAGGAGTTTGACACCAGCCTGGCCAACATGATAAAACCGCATCTCTACTAAAAATATAAAAATTAGCCAGGCATGCGTGTAGTCCCAACTACTCAGGAGGCTGAGGCAGGAGAATCACTTGAACCTGGGAGACAGAGGTTGCAGTGTGCTGAGATCATACCACTGCACTCCAGCCTGGAAGACAAAGCAAGACTCTGTCAAAAGAAAGAAAGAAGGAAAGAAAGAAAGAGAGAGAGAGAAAGAGGAAGGAAGAAAAGAAAAGAAAAAGAATTTTCAACCCAAAATTTCATATCCAGCCAAACTAAGCTTCATAAGTGAAGAATAAATAAGATCCTTTTCAGAGAAGCAAATGCTGAGGGAATTTGTTACCACCACACCTGCCTTACTAGAGCTCCTAAGGAAACACTAAATATGCAAAGGTAAAACCACTACCAGCCACTATAAAAACATACTGAAGTACACAATGACAGGATCGAATCCACACATAATAATACTAACCTTAAATGTAAATGGATTAAATGCCCCAATTAAAAGACACAGAGTGGCAAACTGGATACAGAGCTAAGACCCATTGATATGCTGTCTTCAAGAGATCCATCTCATATGCAAAGACACACACAGGCTCAAAGTAAAGGGATTGAGGAAAATTTATCAAGCAAATGGAAAACAGGAAAAAGCAAGAGTTGCAATCCTAGTTTCCAACAAAACAGACTTTAAATTAGCAAAGATCAAAAAAGACAAAGAAAGGCATCACATAATGATAAAGGGTTCAATTCAACAAGAAGAGGTAACTATGGTAAATATATATGCACCCAACACAGGAGCAACCAGATTCATAAAGCAAGTTCTTAGAAGCCTTCAAAGAGACTTAGATTCCCACACAATAATAGTGGGAGACTTCAACACCCCACTGACAATATTAGACCATCAAGACAGAAATTAACAAAGATATTTAGGACCTGAACTCAACTCTTGATCAGTTGGACTTGATAATTATCTATAGAAGTCTTCACCCCAAAACAACAGAATATACATTCTTCTCATCACTACATGGTACTTACTCTAAAATTGACCCATAATCGGAAGTAAAACACTCCTCAGCAAATGCAAAAGAACTGAAATCATAACAGTCTCTCAGACCACAGCACAATCAAATTAGAACCCAAGACTAAGAAATTCACTCCAAACCATACAATTACATGGAAATGTAATAACCTGATTCTGAATGACTTTTGGGTAAATAATGAAATTAAGGCAGAAATCAAGAAGTTATTTGAAACTAATGAGAACAAAGATATAACATACCAGAACCTCAGGGACACAGGTTAGGCAGTGTTAAGAGAGAAATTTATAGCACTAAATGCCCACATTAAAAGCTATAAAGATTTCAAGTTAACAACCCAACATCACAACTAAAAGAACTAGAGAACCAAGAGGAAACAAACCCCATAGCTAACAGAGGACAAGAAATAACCAAACTTAGAGGTGAACTGGAAGAGATAAAGACACAAAAAAACCATTCAAAAGATCAACAAACCTAGGAGCTGGTTTTTCCAAAAAAGTTAATAAAATAGATAGACCACTAGCTAGACAAGGAAGAAAAGAGAGAAGAATCAAATAAGCACAATCAGAAATGATAAGGGGATATTACCACTGACCCCACAGAAATACAAACAACCATCAGAGAATATTATAAATGCCTCTATGCATATACGCTAGAAAACCTAGAAGAAATGGATAAATTCCTGGACACATACATCCTCTCAAGACTGAACCAGGATGAAGTTGAATCCCTGAAGAGACCAATAATGAGGCCCTGAAAATGAGGCAGTAATAGCCTACAACCAAAAAAAAAAAAAAAAGCCCAGGACCAGACAGATTCACAGCTGAATTCTACCCCCTGTACAAAGAAGAGCTGGTACCATTCCTACTGCAACCATTTCAAAAAATTGAAAGGGAGAGACTCTTCCTTAAGTTGTTCTATGAGGCAAGCATCATCCTGAACCAAAATCTGGCAGAGACACAACAAAAAAAGAAAACCTCAGACCAATATCCTTGATGAACATTGATGCAAAAATCCTCAGCAAAATACTGGCAAACTGAATCCAGCAGTACATCAAAAATCTTATTCACCACAATCAAGTAGGCTTCATCCCCAGGATGCAAGGTTGGTTCAACATATGCAAATCAATAAATGTGATACATTACATAAATAAAACTAAAGACAAAAACCATATGATTATCTCAACAGATATAGAAAAGGATTTCAATAAATTTTGGCATCCTTTCATGTTAAAAACTCTCAATAAACTAGGTATTGAAGGAATATACTTCAA